GGTGTCATTATCGTTGTAAATACTTGACTTTTTCTCTCTCCATCTGTTTTTTTTCCTCGGTTGTCTATCTGTCAGTCTCTTCCATTTTCCATTCTGTCTATCAGTCTCTACCTCTATATGCGTCTGATTGTCTTACTAATTGTCTCTTTTCCAAATTTTACAGTGTAGCCACAAAAAAAAAGTTACCACTAACTTAAAACTACCGTGTTCACAACTCCCTGACGGATGGGCGGTGGATAGCATACTCCTGTAAACTCTTAGGCGACGATAGGGAATAATTAGAGATGTTGTGTATGAAGTGCCAGATGATGAATGAAGTTATTTCACATACCAAGTACTAGTTGTTATTGAGAGCATGAATTTCCTAGCTTCAATAACAAAGGCTTTTAAGCAAATACTGTACTCTAAATTAATTCATACACCCGACAACAACAGCTCAGAATTCAAGAAGATAAATCTTTCTGTTGCCCTGCACGTTATTGTAGCTCACTCGCTGTTTAGCACTACATATACCTGCGGCTCCGAAATTACTATCCAGGATAGCGCTAAGATACAACACACGTAAAAGGTTAGAGATGAAGGACACGACTCTCTACTTGTACTCAGTCCACAGCGGCAGATATTTACTCGGCCAGTGTTTGAGTTTCTACAAATGAATACGAGAAAAGCGCTCACGACTCGTATCCTAGTGTAATGCATGACCCCACCTCGTAAAGACGGTGGGGTGACGCACAGTGCATGATAAATGGTATATTGTGTGCAGAGAGCCATGGAAGATAGCATACATTATGTGGAATTTATGGCTTGGAGTGAAAAATGCGCTGAATTTACCAGGATCTAATTACAGGTGCCCGGTTTAAAGTTCAAGGGGCAGAATAATATAGCCATATAATCCTTGGTGTAGATTTGAAACTGTAGAGAATTTATGTTGATGATTTCTGTTTGTTGTTTATGTTGAAGACGATGATGACCAATATTGTGAAATGTTGTTAATCCAATTTCAACGATCATAACTTCTGTCATTATTACCACAAATATAACAACTAAAATTACTGTTGTCCATACTATTACCATCGTGTTATCTGATAATATTTTTCTGATAACGTTCTGTCACTATCACCACCACTATTGTAATACTACCAACACTTCATATACTATACACCTGTCTGTACTATTTTCACCGTTAATGCCAGTACGTACTACTATCATTATGAAAGGTTTAAGAAGACGATGACTGATCGTTCCTTCATCTTTCGTCCAATTTTAGGCAGGAATTTGGTAGACATGTGCTAAGTTTATATAGTGAAAAACAATCCCGGGCAATGTCGGGTATCCCAGCTCGTATACCGCTTCGTTTACTTGAATTTGCGACACATTTCACTTTATTTCGGTAACTTTAGAATAAGGTACAGGGTATTAATTTCCAAGTCTCGGGGGTATGGGAGGTGTCCTTCGGTAGTCCTGGCTGAAGTCTACCATGGAGACACACACACACACACACACACACACACACACACACACACACACACACACAATAAATTTATGGAGTAAAATCGTATTGTTTGTGTTGATTAGTAGTGACTGGATGAAATAGAGACGACAATTCTCTACCTAAGACCTTACGTCATGTGGGCTTGACGGTAGTGAGAGCGGGAGGTGCAGCTGGTTATCAAACGTCAGATGAGTGGACGCTGAGGAGATAAAATTCTTGTTAACATTAAGCCAGTTGCTGTAAATTCTGGAATGATGCTCTATGAACCAGTAATGAAGGTGGACTATTACTGCGCGTGAGTTTTGTTTTGTGTTTGTTTGTGGTAAATTCCAACAAACTCTTGCTTTATATTTGTACAGCTCTCAGCCGGGTAAATTCTTCTCTAGTCTTAACTTCGGTGCGAACTACAAGGAGCTCCGGTCGGCAGAGGAGTGTGGGCCGCCGTAGGTAGCGCACTTTTTCTCGGTGTTGGGACAGGTGGTGTAGCGGTGTCCGGAGGTACCACACAGGGAGCATACATCCTCCTGCGCCTTAAACTTGTTGACGGTGTGTCCGTAGTTCTGGCATTTGAAGCAACTCTTTGGTCGGCAGTAGGGCGTGACTTGGACGGTGTAAAATTTTCTTCAGTTTGTCTCTCTTACTCTTACATTTGATCACAGCGTGCAAGACAAAATATAAAATCACTAATGCTAGACTGAGTTCGTTATAAGACCAAGGTGATAATGGCACTGGTTGTGTTCTCAGGTCACAATGCAGAAGATGTTTGTTGTGTAATGTTCTTACTTACAGAAATCGGTTTTATTTTATCTTCTTTTTTTGCAATATTTTTCTCTTTACTTTTCTGTTTCAGTAAACCCATTGTCTTAGTGGCTTCTTTCATCCTCCTTATTGCTGGTTCTCTTTCCGGATTCCATACATTATTTATCCTAGTGTTCGGCTGCATAACTTATCAGTGTTATTTACCAATCCTTTATTTAAGATTGTCCAGAATCTCTCCTCAGTTCCCGTCCTTTTCCCCTATAATTCTCCCTGCTTTCTCTTCATTTTATCCCTATACTACCTCTCTCTCTAGTCTCCATTATTCTTGTAACTAATTACCTTCCTCTTCATCCTTGGTTTCTGCTCTCCCTTTCCAATTATCATCTCAAGCACCAGTGGCTTATATTGGGGTGCAATTGTGCTTCTCCGTAGCCTTGTAGTCCCTGACAATCACCGGTTCAATCTTGCTCTTAATATTGCCACTTGTATACATCGCATCATATGATTCTCGTTTCTAAATGGGAATTCTTAGGACGTTGATGCAAATCGTGAGTAATCCAATACGTGAATGGTGTAAAATTGTGCATAAGAGAATAAAAAATATTCCAAATGAACTCTAATAATTGATTGAAAATTGAAAGGAATGAATGTATTAGTCATTGTTGGAATGGAGTTCATGTACCAAAGAGCTGAATAACGAGGATATACTGGCAGGAACTGATGGTGATAGGCAACTGAAGGCAGTAATCATCACTGGATTTATACGGAAAAGTTTAAATGGAAAAATAATAAGGAAATGTGGAACAAGGAAAAAAAATCATGAGTAAATAAGTACAAGAAAAAGAGTGAAGAATGTGGTGTACTGGCATCAAAGACTAAAGAGATATTCAGAACTATGGCCGCACAATGAATGATCCTAGGATGCATATAATGAGTCATTATTGGAAACGTTTGATAAGATACGATATGATAATAGGCCTTGTAGGAATCTGTCCATGTATTATACTGTACCAATTAGGTATGATACTCTCCATGGTGTGTGTGAACTACCATGCAGGACACACGAAGTTCATGACTTGCCGTGTGTGACTAAGCCGTGTGTGATGCAACAACCCCCACCCAACATAAATACCAAAGGGTGACCCATCTTGCAAAGTGAATAATGCAATGTTAGCAGAGCGTGATGCATGTCGGGTTATAACTCTGAATTATGACTGTGGCTGCAGGAGAATGACCTGAAAAAAAAAATCACAACAGAAGGGTTTGGTAGTGCCCTTGGAGGTCTTAAAGTCTGTGGCCGCCACCCACTGAGAATGCTGTCACCTGTGTCTTGCTCTAGTGAAGGGTTAGATGTTAAAACTTCCTTTCTTGTTTCTTTATTATACAATATATTCCCTGTTCTCTTTTATGTCCTGGGAGTGTATAGATGTATATTTCTAAGGAAGTCTAATTTGTAATGGCCGTGGAGGAGTGGGGAAGTTATATGTTACGGACCGGCCGACTGACGATGGTGAAATATCCTGCAGTAAAGTATAGTTACTAAACTAGGAAAACTGGACAGCACGCTCATACGTACTCCGCCTTGCTCTTTCTCTTTATAATTACTGTATATATAATTATGTCCTTTTACCCTGATGCTGCTCCATGATGACCCAAGTGGCTCCAATATATTACAGCCTACAGACACTCTCCCTCCCACTAACAACGGGTTGGGATTTAAAATTTTCATCAGTCTATGAAGTCATTCGTAGCGGCATATCTGGGATTGGAGTCATAGCATAAAATAGTCTATTAAGGGTTGAGGGTGTTATCGGGGATCAATAACTGGTTGTTATCCAGATATTGAGAAGATAATGGACCTTTCACCACTAGATGAGGCTCGGGTACCTGCCCACCATGCACATTATGGTCTATTGATTAACTCTCAAATGGAAGCATAACGAGAATTATATGACATATTGACTTATTAAATAGCTGATGCGTAAGTTGATCCAATACGTTACGGACGCTGTGGATACAACACATTATATACTAAACCTTCGGTACAGAAGGAGGCAGCATGGCCTGTACTGTACTCTACTGCATTCACTTCCCCAAGTTGTGAACTGGGAGAGCCCAGGAATCAAACCACCGACCCCTGGAACAGGCGGCGAGCGCATTATCCACTTGACTGCAAGGTGTAACGTCAGCTTATCTCCAATTACGTGTAGTTGCCTCAATTATGAAAGGCATACACAGAAGCTATATACAATATATCGACCTGACGTGGAGCAGTTTTATATGAATAACATCCCGAATAACAACTATCTCTTTGTGGCTTTACTAAAAAAAAAATAACAAAATAAAACTAGATATGGACCACACATTTTATTTTATTTTAATAGCACTCGTCGCTGGTCTGGTAACGGCTACGGCGATCTTCTTTTGCACCCTGGGCAACACGCTCGAGGACGACTTCCTCCAGGAGCTCAGGCACCAGCGGGACCCACAGCCGGTGACCGAGATCACCTGTAGTACGTGGACGCTGATAAACGTTGCCCTGTTGGGAGTCGTTGCACTACTAACATTCGGGTTAGTATACGTTTACAAATATCGACTCCATCCAAAGCGGGTCGCAGTAAGAGCCTCTGTGCCAAAAGATCGCCCAAAATCCTCAAAAAGATGCTTCTGGTGCGAGAAAATCTTTACACCTCATAGTCCTTGTTCAACACCACCCTTCCATTTTCGTTTTCATTGTTTGGATTGCTTGATGAAAGCCCTGGCAGAATTCGAAAAAGCCGAAAAGAAGACTTCAACCCCGGACCAAAAAGAAGGAAAAGCCCAGACCCCAAAATTTGAGACGTCCACAAATGACGAGACGACCACAAATGACGAGACGACCCCAAAAGATAAGAAATCACCCAAAGATAAGAAATCCCCAAAAGACAAGACGACCCCAAAAGACGAGAAAACCTCAAAATACGAGACGACCTCAACAGACGAGACTTCCTCAATAGATAAGAAGCCCCCCAAAACACAAAAAGACCCACAAAGTCAATAAGTCCCCAAACGACGAGAAACACCCCAAAAGATGAGACGGGGCTCATTAGTAGGCTATTGAGTGTAGTACAGTCACTTTAAGAAAGTACTTCTCCCCCATTTATTACAAAATATTTTTTTTTCTATAGGATTTTGGTGTAAGAAGTGGGGAAATAATGGTTGTGGGGATTTATTTTACTGGCAGAGCCATTTCACAAGCCCATTATTAGGACTACCCTATACGAGGATGCTAGCTCAAGTTGAAGTACAAACACAGACAATATACTGAACATTATCCACATGTTTTATGTAGATGTCTATAATTCTTTGCACTTTCTCATCAACAAAGCACTTTGAACGTTATATATAAACTTGACAAAGCATAATCTTTATTTTTCTATTGATTTGTGACTACTACAAAACAGGTTTTTCATTGATTCGAACTATTTCAAGACTGCATTTAATTCACACACATGTTATCTGAAAATGTCGAAATTTAAATATGGAATACGTACTTAAAAATATATATTAGGAAAGATAATTAAGGAAAACAGACAACCATATTTGTAAAAGTAAATCCCAACACATGACCATGAGGACGTCTTTCAAAATACTATTGTTTTATACAAAGCGCAGAGACAAAACATCTTTCACAGAGACTTTAGTGTCAGCGTCAACAGACTCAGGATTATGACAGTTTTGTGAGCTGTTTGAGCATCTACATGTATCACAAACACATTGTTCAATGCAAGGCAGACCTGCCAGCAGACAAGAACATTTCCTTGAGACAAGACAATCTTTGTCGTTACAATACGGGTGAGTGAGGTTACGAACCTGTATTGTTGCACATTCCCGGGCAGGGTGAAACTATGGACAAGTTTCTTGACGCCATTTGCCTCTGTCTACCTAGCAGTAATGGGGAACCAGGATGTTAATCGATTTGCGGATCGTGTTCATGTTAGCCAGTGCAGTTGGCGAGTTGCCCGGTCTTCTCTGACTATTCCTTGACACTGAGTCATGCAACTCGTTAACTTAGGGTGTGGTTGTTGTTTTGGCGACATCTTCTACACCTTAAACAAATTCACGCCTACAGTAGGTGGCCCTTGGACCGGCCATCTTCGTTACACGAGGGGCAACCATTATATATGTGGAAAGGTAGAAAAATTCAAAATTTCTGAGAAACACCTGAGCGAGTTACATGTGTCATAAGTCAGTGAGAAATCTTTCATTGTGGGAGCTAGAAACAATAAATTTCTTAATTATTACTGAAAATGACGAGTTGGCTGGTCATGTGTACTCAAACGACCACTTTTAGTATCAACACAGAAAATCCCAGAGTGTGACGCTTTATATAAAACCATGAATACTAGCTTCGCTTGAATATCGTTGGGACACTCTTTTGTAATTTCTAGTTGATACTCGCTCAACAGCTCTTATCAATCACCGTGGTCAAGTTTTCAACAATTTCCGGAGTTCTGTTCCCCAAATATAGAGTGAAGCACTCAAAACCTTCCCATAAGAGTAAATATAGTATACAAGCTTTTAGTCAACTTATTAAACGAGCTTATGCATTCTGGAAATGATTGGTTAGATAGCTACTAACATGCATATCTCGGGATGAGCGGCGAAACATTTGAGCCTTGATATTTCTTCAGTTTTCAACATTTGATGACTAAGCTACGGATGTGCATCGATCAATGAAAATGCAGTAGAGTACACGAAAAGTAAACTCCCTCTGTTGTGCTGCCTGGTGGTATCTCACAGATCACTCCCGAGGACCTGCAGGTCATAAGCGAAGGATTGAAGCATGAAATATAATTTTTATGGCTGAGGAAGGAAAGCTATCTGAAGTCTTCAAGCCAGTGTTGAAACCCCATGCAATCTCACTGAACTTGAATCAGAGAATGATAACTAAGTGCACGTTCTTAAAGACCTTAGTTATTGAAACGTTTCCTGCCACCCCAAGACGTAAAGGAGTCTTGAACACTTCTCTAAGTTCATTGTCAATAAACTTATACAGGTTGCATTATCATTCACGGTAAAACGGTATAAATGTTACTATATTATAAAAATTATTAACAGGAAATAGCCTTTAGAATCTCAATTCTTCATTAGCTAAATATGAGGTTTTCGAACGCAGGTAATCTGCCAATATCGATACATTAGGCAACGATTCCCTTGGACGAGAAAACAGTTTAGTAATATTGTAAAATGTTCCCTGTAAAGTTTCTATACTTACTGTAAACCCTGGCAGCCTCTGGCAAAGTATGGCCTCGGTAAGGGTCTTGGACAGGATTGATCTCTTGTGTTATATGTTGAGGGTCTGATGCTTTATTGATTAACATTGTAAACAAAGAAAATGAAAATCCAACTGCGTGGAACACAACACAACAAAACACAACACCCTCTCTCCCCTCTCACACACACAAAGGTTCTGTATAACTAGATACGTATCCCTAACTCACACTTAGCAGAAATAATTGCTGTACGAATATTTGAGAATCCGTACTGTACCGAGAGAGGAATATTGAGGCTGTCTGAAACCAGTCTTTCATTACCAGTGACCCCCGATTACACGGCTGACTGCTAAACTGCTGGGGCCGCATGACAAAACTCCCCACGTCATGAAGGTCGTAACTCCATACTGACAGCCACGAAAATTTACCAACATCAAAAGAAATAACTTGTTGAACTACCATAACCAGCAGCGACCCGAGGCTGAGTCATGATATTTGAACAAAGTGACACACACACACATGCACGTCACAGTCACAGTGGAGAGACCGGGTGAGTGACCAGACTGAGACTGACGATGACCGAGGCTCGGCCATAGTGACTACGTCTTTAACATGGTTCGTTGGTTCACACATCTTACTGTATTGTTAACCCCCGCCTGGAGGTTGGGCGGTTGTACTGTTTTAGCTTTTTGTTTGTTTTATGCTCGCGCGTGTGTTTGTGTGTGTGTGTGTGTGTGTGTATATGTGTGTGTATTTATCTGTGTTTATAAATGTGAATGTATGTGTGTTTTTTTTCTGTAGGAAACGATTTTAATGGAACCTTAAACATGGATTTTATTTCGGACAAAACAGAACCAATATTTCAAAGACAACCAAATCTCAACTCAAATACACAGCTCCAGGTAGAAGTATCTCGACCTTCACAAAAATATCTCTGAATAAACGTATAGATTTCATTAAAAAAAATTAACATGGAGCATTTTTGCGTAATGGTCACAACGGGAGAGGTAGACAGCATGAGTTATACTCTGATGAACACCAACCACACCACTGAGCTCCGCGGGTCACCCCACTCCACAAATAAGGTAATGTGTGGGGTGGGGGGGGTGGGGGGACTTAAAGTCAATGAATATAATGATATATTTCTGACATCATTTACTTCATATTCTGATCAAGTAATACATAATTTAGTTAAAAGGTTACCTAGAGCAAAAGCGATATCAATTTACACGACCATTTTAATTAGCACGCCCGGGGTGGGAGGTCAAAAACTCACAAGTTAATGTTTTACGCTTCGCCTCTTTGATAATTAGCTGGTCTGCATATGACTCTATATAAAAATTCATTTATATCATCCTACATTCACAAGAGGTCAGACAGAGTTAGTGTTGTTGATGTTGCAAGATTCAAGGGTCAAATATAATGGAGGGTATTGTACACCTCAGAATTTATGGGAAAATTTTTCATTTTATGAAACAATTGATGAAGAGAAAACTGTACTTGAAACTTGTCATTACAATATTCAGAATGTCTAAGGTTTCTCATTTGTTTTCTGTATGAAAATGTATATGGTGTATCTAAGGCTGTTTAACGCTCGTGGAAACTTTGGTAATTGGCGATAGAAATAAATGAAGTATATAACTCAAAAATAACATATTTATGTAGAAGTATACTCACACACACACACACAGTAACGTGATGTAACCAAACCTAACCTAAAGTAACCAGCAAAATTATTATGTACCGTACTGTATACTGGCCCATAACATCAGTTCACTACCGTGTAAAGTTTCCTCCATTGCTAGGTTATGAAACGCTATAAAGGCATTATCTATATTAGAAAGTACTACAGTTACTGTCATGTCTTTTCATACAGCTGGTCATTTATCGCGGTAGTAACTATACCCAGCGATAATGAAGTCTACATGTTATTACATATCAGTGGGATATACAGCGTGAGGCGGCATGAATGATTAGGTCACAAGGAGGCTCAGATACGCTTATCACTTCCTCGTCAGTCACCGTGCCCGGCAGTAAAGTCAGCAGTTACACCAGTCGAGATATTGCCTGGGAAGTAAACGCCTACAAAGTGAAAGGTACTTGCCAAAATGACTTACTAAGAGGTGTGATGGTATGACATGATGCGTAGTCTGAAGAAGTCCAAAGTGATGATAATATTTTAAGAAGGAAGAGGAGTCGTGAGGTATCTTGTTTGGAAAGACAAAAACCACATTCAAGAAGCTTGTTATTAGTTAATGAGCAGCAACATGAAGATGGATGTGAAAATTGTGGCATGGTATAGTGTACTAAACAGTTACTTGAAATCTGAACATCTAGGAAGCCTTTGAGGTGTGGATATGGAGGAGACTGGAGAAGATTGCTTACGTCGACAGGATGAGAAATGAAGCTTTCCTGGAGAGGATTTGAAAAATAGGAAACCTTATAAGTGTGGCCGGGATGGAGAGTGTACTGAAGGAGGGGCGATAATATTCAGTGTTGAAGGAAGAGACGAGGAACAGGGAGGAGTGGAGAAGTTATATGTCACAGACCGGCCGACTGAAGATGGTGAAATATCCTGCAGTAAAGTTTAGTTACTTAACTAGGAAATCTGGACAACACGCTCATACGTACTCCTCCTTGCTCTTTCTCTTTATAATTACAGTATATATAATTATGTCCTTTTACCCTGATGCTGCTCCATGATGACCCAAGTGGCTCCAATATACTACACCCTACAGACACTCTCCCTCCCACTAACAACGGGTTGGGATTTAAAATTTTCATCAGTCTATGAAGTCATTCGTAGCGGCATATCTGGGATTGGAGTCATAGCATAAAATAGTCTATTAAGGGTTGAGGGTGTTATCGGGGATCAATAACTGGTTGTTATCCAGATATTGAGAAGATAATGGACCTTTCACCACTAGATGAGGCTCGGGTACCTGCCCACCATGCACATTATGGTCTATTGATTAACTCTCAAATGGAAGCATAACGAGAATTATATGACATATTGACTTATTAATTAGCTGATGTGTAAGTTGATCCAATACGTTACGGACGCTGTGGATACAACACATTATATACTAAACCTTCGGTACAGAAGGAGGCAGCATGGCCTGTACTGTACTCGACTGCATTCACTTCCCCAAGTTGTGAACTGGGAGAGCCCAGGAATCAAACCACCGACCCCTGGAACAGGCGGCGAGCGCATTATCCACTTGACTGCAAGGTGTAACGTCAGCTTATCTCCAATTACGTGTAGTTGCCTCAATTATGAAAGGCATACACTGAAGCTATATACAATATATCGACCTGACGTGGAGGAGTTTTGTATGAATAACATCCCGAATAACAACTTTCTCTTTGTGGCTTTACTAAAAAAAAAATAACAAAATAAAACTAGATATGGACCACACATTTGATTTTATTTTAATAGCACTCGTCGCTGGTCTGGTAACGGCTACGGCGATCTTCTTTTGCACCCTGGACAACACGCTCGAGGACGACTTCCTCCAGGAGCTCAGGCACCAGCGGGACCCACAGCCCGTGACCAAGATCACCTGTAGTACGTGGACGCTGATAAACGTTGCCCTGTTGGGAGTCGTTGCACTACTAACATTCGGATTAGTATACGTTTACAAATATCAACTCCATCCAAAGGGGGTCGCAGTAAGAATCTCTGTGCCAAAAGGTCGCACTAAATTGTCAAAAAGATGCTTTTGGTGCGGGAAAATCTTTACACCTCATAGTCCTTGTTCAACACCACCCTTCCATTTTTGTCTTCATTGTTTGGTTTCCTTGTTAAAAGCCCTGGCAATATTCGAAGGAAAAGCCCAGACCCCAAAATATGAGACGTCCGCAAATGACGAGAAGACCCCATGGTGGGAGCGTTTAGCATCACGATCAACGATTTACTTTTGTCCAGCTTGCTTTGTACAGGTGCTAGAAGTCATGGGCAGGTACGTCGAAGAAAATGAAAGAATAGTCAAGCCCCCAAAAGACCAGATGACTTCAAAAGATAAAAAGCCCGCAAAAGACGAGAAGATCTCAAAAGACGAGACGACCTCAACAGACGAGAAGACCACAAAGGACGAGACTTCCTCAATAGATAAGAAGCCCCCCAAACACAAAAAGACCCACAAAGTCAAAAAGTCCCCAAAAGACGAGAAACACCCCAAAAGATGAGACGGGGCTCATTAGTAGGCTATTGAGTGTAGTACAGTCACTTTAAGAAAGTACTTCTCCCCCATTTATTACAAAATATTTCTTTTTTCTATAGGATTTTGGTGTAAGAAGTGGGGAAATAATGGCTGTGGGGATTTATTTCACTGGCAGAGCCATTTCACAAGCCCATTATTAGGACTACCCTATACGAGGATGCTAGCTCAAGATGAAGTACAAACACAGGCAATATGCTGAACATTATCCAACGATTCCCTTGGACGAGAAAGCAGTTTAGTAATATTGCAAAATGTTCCCTGTAAAGTTTCTATACTTACTGTAAACCCTGGCAGCCTCTGGCGAAGTATGGCCTCGGTAAGGGTCTTGGACAGGATTGATCTCTTGTGTTATATGTTGAGGGTCTGATGCTTTATTGATTAACATTGTAAACAAAGAAAATGAAAATCCAACTGCGTGGAACACAACACAACAAAACACAACACCCTCTCTCACACACACAAAGGTTCTGTATAACTAGATACGTATCCCTAACTCACACTTAGCAGAAATAATTGCTGTACGAATGTTTGAGACTCCGTACTGTACCGAGAGAGGAATATTGAGGCTGTCTGAAACCAGTCTTTCATTACCAGTGACCCCCGATTACACGGCTGACTGCTAAACTGCTGGGGCCGCATGACAAAACTCCCCACGTCATGAAGGTCGTAACTCCATACTGACAGCCACGAAAATTTACCAACATCAAAAGAAATAACTTGTTGAACTACCATAACCAGCAGCGACCCGAGGCTGAGTCATGATATTTGAACAAAGTGACACACACACACACACACATGCACGTCACAGTCACAGTGGAGAGACCGGGTGAGTGACCAGATTGAGACTGACGATGACCGAGGCTCGGCCATAGTGACTACGTCTTTAACATGGTTTGTTGGTTCACACATCTTACTGTATTGTTAACCCCCGCCTGGAGGTTGGGCGGTTGTACTGTTTTAGCTTTTTGTTTGTTTTATGCGCGCGCGTGTGTTTGTGTGTGTGTGTGTGTGTGTGTGTGTTCGTATATATATATATATATATATATATATATATATATATATATATATATATATATATATATATATATATATATATATATATATATATATATATATATATATATATATATATGTGTGTGTGTGTGTGTGTGTGTGTGTGTGTTTAAGTGTGTTTTTTATGTAGAAAACTATTATAATGGAACCTTAAACGTGGATTTTATGTCGGACAAAACAGAACCAATATTTCAAAGACAACCAAATCTCAACTCAAATACACGGCTCCAGGTAGAAGTATCTCGACCTTCACAAAAATATCTCTGAATAAATGTATAGATTTCATTAAAAAAAAATAACATGGAGCATTTTTGTATAATGGTCACAACGGGAGAGGTAGACAGCATGAGTTATGCTCTGATGAACACCAACCACACCACTGAGCTCCGCGGGTCACCCCACTCCACAAATAAGGTAGTGTGGCGCTGAGATTACACCAAATTTAATGTGAATGAATAACAACGTTTCGGAGTCTGGTCACACACACACACACATACACGCATTATAAGGGACTTTAACTACATAATGGGTCACTTAAAAGAGCAGTAAGTAGTTTATAAAAGATCACTTACTGCCAGAGAGGATGAGGTCTTATATGGGTCTCTCAGTATACACACTAAAGAACCTCAACCCGCTTTTGTTTATTTCTCACAGTGCAGCTCCTCCCAGCACCAGAGACAAGGTGGCTAGAGAACCACGTGAGGTAAATCACAGGGACACACAATCCTTACGACACTATACACCGTTATCGTCAACATAAATAACGTCAGCTTCACTCAACAATCCTCAGCCACACTACACAATCCTCAGTCACACTACACAATCCTCAGTCACACTACACAATCCTCAGCCACACTACACAATCCTCAGTCACACTACACAATCCTCAGCCACACTACACAATCCTCAGCCACACTACACAATCCTCAGCCACACTACACAATCCTCAGCCACACTACACAATCCTCAGTCACACTACACAATCCTCAGCCACACTAAACATCCCTTAGCTTCACTACACAACTCTCAGCCATATTACACAATCCTCAGCCACACTACACAACCCTTAGCTACACTACACAACCCTCAGCCACACTACACAACCCTGAGCCACACTACACAACTCTCAGCCATATTACACAACCCTCCACTTATTTTGTTAACAGAGCGAGCCAGCCAAAAAATATAAAGCTATTACCGACAAAGACCAACACAAAAAATTTATTGTTACTCGAGAACAGTTGCTGTTATCATTAATTACAAAGCGAGATTGTCAAGAGTAAGGAAATTCTTGAACAGTCTGTCAAAATATTTACACTGAGGGAGAAAAGGGGATAGCGGGGACAGAGGAGATATTTTTAGAAATTAATATCAGGTGGCAAGAGGAAAGAGCAATAAAGTATATTGAAGAAGATGTGAAAGTTAATAACGGTTTGTTACCTTGAGGGCAAGTGGTTATTGTTGCTGGCAGGGGCAAGACGCTACCTACCCTAGGGAGGGAAGACGATAAGAGAGATATAGAAAACTGAGTGAAAAAGAAAAGGTAATGAGAAAGGAGGAGCTGGGAGAGAAAGAGCGGGAGAGTGGGAAAGAGAAGACTCTAAGGGGACGAGTTACAGATACAAAGTGAAAATATTCAACATTACGTTATGTATACAGTCAATTATTAAAGTCCGTTCGCCTCTCCTCTTGAACCACGAACCCCGAGATTGAGACTCGTGAACCTGAAGCAGTCGACTGATACATTATTCTCTCCATTTAAGCTTCGTTGAACCTGAATCTCGAGGTTCGTGTTTCAGGAAGAGAGGCGAACGGACTTTAATACTTGATTGTACACCATCATTATTGAGACTGATATCGCACTGCTGTCATCTGTTCCTGGACGGCGATAGGTATACTACAACAAGAATATGCGAGGAAAATGCGCATTCCGTTGTTATATCATGTATCCGGTCCAGAAATACTTGATCTAAATTTACTCGGACACCTAAATTGTATCGTCTCTCATCCACTTAAGATCGTAAACTTTAACACTTGTGGTAGAATTTTATAAACCTCTGCATGACAGTATTTATGAGTTAACTCCTAGATAATACCTTATGAAAGACGAACTTCTGTACGTAAATTTATTTGTGTGTGTGTGTGTGTGTGTGTGTGTGTGTGTGCGTGCAATATATCCGAAAAATTGCATGATACCTCTAATAATAATCAACAAAATTTAAACTAATTTCCTTTAGTTGTTCTGTTCTCTCTCTATCTTTTTTTTAACGGAAATGAACACGAGAAGGACGAATATGGCCCAAGCAATATGGAGCCTCATGTAGACAGTCGGCGTGGGAGTTAAAACCTACAATAACGAAGGTTCAAGTAAAATAAAAAATAGTAAAAATCGGTAAGGTGCTCTTCTGTACAGTGAAAGTGAATCTGAAATATTTTGTGAGTGCTCTTTGGAGTAGATACAATGTGTCTCGGGTTTATTGAATTTATGCTATTCTATATTTAAACTAAAATATACTTGAATAAATAAATAGATTCTATTATCTATATTAATAATTTTTACTCAGCCTTGAAAGATCATATTATCAAGACTCCGTGTCACTGGACTTAATGGTGATGGCGCCGTGAAGATTTTTTTTTAAGTACCCAGTTCACCCAGGTGTGAATGGCTGCCAAACTTTACAGTTCAGGAAGTGAAACCCATTCACCTATAGCGCTGGTCGCACAGGCTCCTTGTATACCGCCAAAAAAGGCTTCATACCTCGATGTGTAGTCAGGCCAATTTCACTTGTCATTCTCTATATACTTAAAAATCATAATTGAATCCTAATGGGCATACAACTCTGAAAAGGAACCGACTGTCAACACGATTAAAATATTTCAAACAATTAAATATGGCTCCTGAGTGAGTGAGTGAGTGAGCACACCTACTACAGCTTTCTTAGTATAATGGATCTGTCGGAAATTAATAGTTGTTCTCTGTTGATTATATCCGCTTATATATACCACCGAGGAAATTGGTCTCCAGTTTGTTGAAATTTCATTGTTCTTGTCCGTCGATAATATCATGTCACTATTGTTGTTCTTTGAGAGACACAGCAAATATTATTATTTAATATATCAGCGTGCTTACAACTTTCTAATGTAAAGTAAGAATTTATATTATAATAATTTGAGTCTATTTTACTTAGCATATTGTCTTCAGTCTTTTACAGTATTTGAGTTGTTTTACCCAGGAAAATGTATCGCAGTTAATTTTTGTTAGTTAATGTCTAAAGTAAGATGGACCCTCAATGATACTCGCCTCAGTAATACATTATAACATCATTATTATCTGGCGTTTTCTTAGTGGTCGTTTCTCTTCTGATCGTCATTTATATGAGGGAACTTTATCTTCATGTATTTTCCCTTTTACTTTCGAAGCACAATTTTTCAACTTCAACTCATTTTTATCTTATCCTTTATGAACTATATTTCCTTGTACTCAGTTAAAAGTATTATAGTATGTTAGTTTAGGAACACTTTTTAAATGTTTGATTTTTCAGTATTTTTAACACTAATCTCTTTCAATTGCTTTAAAAAGAAGTTTAACATGGAGGTCCTACCAAATACTTAATCTCCTAACAAGGAATTTCACTTTAAAGAATTCCACATTATTTTTTCTTTGACATCTTCCTCACTTAATAAACATATTCATGATTTTCTATACAAAATGACAAACTACTGTATATAACATCAACATTTCCTTGGAGAAGTGGAAACAATATATAAGCTCAATATTCATATTTTTTTCTAAATTGGAACAATAGATTCTGTCCCTCTACAATCCATTCTTTTTCCTCACTTAAGTAAAAGAAGGAGGCTTATGAAGTTTTAAGTCTTCTTCAGGTTTAACACTGAGGTTGCCACAAGAAT